CTATAAACTAAGCAGTTTGGCTTAAACTATACTTGTTTATCTTTAAAATGTTACAGGTACAAAAACAAGTGCTAGAACTTAAAGAATCAAAGTTCAGTTAATAATTGGAAGTCCATATTTAAATTTTCCTAGAACCAAATCCATATTTGTACTGTTTTCTATACTAATTCAGTGAGAAATTGAGGTGGGAGTATTTAATTATATTCTGCTGCAATGCAAAGCCAAACTGAATTCAACAAATGGCTGATTATACAACATTTCAAAAGGTGTTTCCAGATGACTCAAAGATGTGATGTTTTGGGTATACCCATCAGTTTGGAAAGAAATTCAGAACTAAGTTATTATCTTTACCAATTCAGAATTAGTGCCCTATCACAGAGGAAATTATGAGCACAGAATAGATAGCCTGTAGGCCAGTCTTTTAAACTGAATGTTGTGCAACCTTGATTTGCATTATTATATTCATGTATTTTAACTCATAAATCAAACTGTTAAACCTATTTTTCACTCCATGCAAGTTTTTGCAAAAAAAAACTTCATAGATAAATGTCTAATTATAACAATGTATTAAGAAAAATCTTTCCCCACAAGGGAAAAAAAAGGCTGTGTATACATACACATGCAAATTATATACACTATCAAAGGGTGCGGGATATTATCTTAATTACTTTCCATTTGACAAGTATACCAATTGAATCGTTATTGCGAAAGGTTTTGACAAACATTTCAATCATGGCAGGTCAAGTACCATGCTTAATATTTTGATACTTGAGTAATTAAATGTAATTCTTCTCACAAAATTTTGTTGTCCTTTGAAAGCTGCATTTTAAAACAAAAAATGTAGTAAATTTAAAAAGCTATTCATACTAAAATGGTCAGTATGACAAAGGGATTTTATACAAATCAAATGCAATGCTGAAATGATTTGTAACTCCTTTATAACATTTGAAACTATAGAGTTCCGATTTTTAAAGAAGGTTTATCCAATCATTGAAGAAATGTAGGTCCAATATCTGCCCAAGAACAAAGATACTATTTGATTAACCCTGCTCTTGCAAATTAAGAGTTCAAGCTGGACCAACCTAAATTATCTCAACTCTCCTTCCATTCATCCACAGGTTTAGGAAGTTTTGGGAATGAAAAAAAAAAAGTGAATTTCTTCGGAACTTATTTTATGAAAGGGCATGCTGAAAGAAAATACGTTGATTCATAATTATGAGTTGTTACCACCCGTTGCCAAATTGACATCAGCCAAATAGCTGCATGCCACTATGGCAACGGAAACTAACATCATAAAATGGTACAGTAATAGAGATAGCTAGACCAAGAAGGGGAAGGGTCCCCTGGGAAGAGGTCCGCTGAAAGATCAAGTGACTGGTCATGCAAGTCATTGTCAGGAATAATGGTTGTACGGTGGTAGAGGGTGTGCAATGCCATTCTGGTAGTGGTGATGCTGGCGGTGAGCTAGATACTCTGAGTAGCTCAGTGTCATCTTTTCACTATGGTACCTGCAGAGAACAGAAAAAAAACACATCAGTTTTTTATTTGCTAAAAGCTCATAAGAAGCACTCAGCCAACATATTGAGCATCCCACTAGACGCCTTTATGCTGCAAGATAACGCTGATGACATGAATACTTTCCCAGATGAGTCAGCAATCTAGCACAGACAGCAAGACAGACAATTAAAAATAAACAAACAAACAACAAAGTTTGGTTTTGACAAAAGAGGAGTACTTCAGGCACTTACCTCAATTGTTTTATAATAAGACAGTAATGGACTACTATCATGTATCCAAGATGATGCGCTCAGCTGCATAAAGGCAATTTGATGTTCTTTTCTCTCCTCAGTACCCCACTGAAGAGTCAATCGTAAATCTATTCCAGGGCCTGAACGTAATCTAACTGAACTCTTTGGTCTAGTACTGAATTAATGCTACTTTGGCACAGGTGCCATTGTTGGATTACATGTTAAACTGGGTCCAAACAGTAAGAACAAGGAAACTCTGAAAAATCATATCAGATTTGAAACATCATCTATTTCTTTCTCCATGGATGCTGCCAGACTCAGGCTTCTCAAGCATTTTGTGTTTGCTTCAGATTTCCAGCATTCACAATATTTTGCTTTTACTTAAGGGACATTTTCTGGTTGTCCCAACATTTATTCCTCAGTCAACATGATCAACAACATTAACTGACTGTTTACCACACTTATTTGCAGGACTTACTGCGTATACTTGAGCTAACATTAAAGACTAGACTACAGAGTAAATTATTAGTTGCGAAATCTTTGGAGGAATTCTGCAGGCATGGAAAGAGTTATACGAATACAAGTTCTGTGTTTGAATTGGAATCCTACATTCTAGGTTTGGAAATGAACAGTGAAGCAGTAATTTAAGTCTATTCAGTTTGGATGATATTTAAAATGCCACATGGCAAACCTTCAACATATGCATATAATCATTCCGTACATAACCATCTCACACCAAAATTTTATTGAAGACCAAGAATTACTGTGAAATTGACAAATTACCCACACAGCTGCTTTTCTCGACAGCTAGGAAGAAATATAGATATGACTATAACCATTTAGCATTTATGTTAACAAAAAAAGTACACAATGGTTAGATTAGGAGAACTCCACATTGGTCCAGATATTCTGATGGCTAGTCACTGGAGCAGCATAGACTGGAGTTGTGAACTGGGACCATGCAGAATTCTTGGTGCAGCTAACTTCATGGGAAATACCCGGGAATTGAAACTTCTGATGGATAACACCACCACATTGGTGGCCCTCTGAAAAATCCTCAGAGAACTGAGTATTCTGGCTCAATTAATCATCCAGGAAACATCCAAAACCTCCTGTAACCAGGTACTTTTAAACTGAACCTCCAATTCACACCAAAACCACCTACCAAGCCTCTCTGCTCCTATGATGCTGCTTGGCCTGCTGTGTTCATCCAGCCCTGCACCTTGTTGTCTTGGATTCTCCAGCATCTGCAGTTCCTACTATCTCCCCCATAATTATGTTTTCCAGCCCAATTCCCAAATCACCCCCTATACAGCAAGCCAGAATCCTTCTGACCTCAGCAAATCACTAACCACTCCCCACTGAGAATACCTACCAATCCCTCTACCAACCCGATGGACCCAAACACTGAGAATTCCACTGAACTGGCCACCCTTCCCCTGACCTGATCATACAGACACTTGCTTCCTCTAATCTGAGGCACTCCAACCCAACACTAACCAGGTGAACAGCCCCCATTTCCCCAGTGCATAGCATCCGACCCTCCCTGCAATAATTTGACTTGGTCCCACTGAAATTAACTATACAACTAATCTACCCTAAATGCTCATCACTTAACTGGCACATTGCTGTAACTTTCAAAGTAGATTTTTGACCTTTAACTCAAAATATGGCAACAAGTGTTGTTTAAATAAAAGGGAGTGCCTTGATCTTCAATGTTGCACCTGCACTGCATAGGCTGCTCCCTGGTTTCCCACGTTGGGTAAAAGCCTAACTCAGACTCTTGCCCAGAAATATGACTGACACATGCAGGTTAAAGAAGATTGCTATGTGTTGAATCTGTTCCAACTGAGATTATCTTTCTCCCTAGCTTTGCCCCTTCCCATCTCCCTAATCTCCTCTTATCCCACAATTAACCAACCAAAGCCACTCCCCAGATATCCCTACTCATCCGATTCTGACCTCAACACTGGATTTTAATTCCTTAGTCATCGGCAGCTGTAACTGATGTTGGATAAGGTCTGGAATCTTCAAATTTGGTCTCAGCACAGCCGTACAAAACATTCATAGATTGTAAGGAATGCACACAACTGTTTTCTCTTTCCACATCTCATGTCATCTATTTCTAGGTGATACATGATACTAAAATAGGTGGGAATGCAGTGAAGAAGAAATAAAGAGTTTACAAATGGATACTGATAAGCTTGGAGAATGGGCCAGAATCTAGCAGATGGAGTTCAATGCAGCTAAGTGTGAAAGGTTGTCCATTTTAGATGGCAAAACAAAAAAGGGCAAATTATTATTTAAATCCAAAGCAGATTCAAAGTGCATCAGTGCAGAGGGATCTGGGTGTCTTTGTACACAAATTGCAGAAAATGGGTATGCAGGTGTAGCATATATTTAGAAAGGTAAATGGAATTCTGGCATTTATTGCAAAAAGGACTGGATTTCACAAGTGAAGGAGTGTTGTTACAATTATATAAAGGTGTTGGTGAGACCACATCTGGAATATTATGTCCAATTCTGGTCTCCCTATGGGAGGAAGGAAGTGGTGGCAATGGAGGCAGTTCAGTGGAGGTTCACAAGATTGATTCAAGGGATGAAAAGGCTGTCATATGAGGAGCGGTTGAATAGCCTGGGCTTGTACATGGAGTTCAGAAGTACGAGGGGGGGTGGTATCTGACTGAGGTATAGAAAATACTAAAGGGGATTGATAAGGTGGACACTGAACAGATGCTCCTTCTTATGGGACATTCTCAAACAACAGGGCACAGAGAGACAGTGAGAGGAAACTATTTTTGTCAGATGGCTGTGAATCTGTGGAACTCACTGCCAGAGTGCAGTGGAGGCAGTATCAACCAACAGATTCAGGAAAGAAAGAGATAGGTTTCGGATGAAAAGCAGGATAGAGGACTATGGGGAACAGGCAGGAAAATTGAGCTGAGATCAGGATAAGACCAGCCATGATCATGTTATATGGCAGAGCGGACTCGAAGGGCTAAATTGCCCACTCCCACTTCTAATTCCTATGTGCCTATTTACTCATCTTACCAACATTTCACTTGGTTGTTTCATTAATTCAGAACCAAAAGAAATCATAATGTTACCCAAATCTGAAAAAAAAAATGTTCTTCTGCCTAAGGGATAGGAATTTGCCATCACACTAAGCCATGTCAGTAAACCGAACACGGCATAGTAATTGGGTTCCAGAAACTTGGTCATTAAATGGGAGACAACAGTTCATATTCTGCTTGACTCATTTCCATTATACTAATTAATGTCTCAAGTAGCTGGAGATAACACCCACTGGAGTTACCTACCTAAAAGTCTGTTTGCAATTTAGGAATTATGTTAGGATATGTTGCAAAACAACCATGCCTCCAGATTTTCTATTGACAGATTGCATCTCTTATTTTGTCCAGGTAGCTCAGTTGTATCTGTGAACGCTATTAGTAGTAACAAGCTGCTCATTTCTGGTAGTATTACAGCTATGTTTATCCCTCAGCCTTTCAATTTGCAGCAGAAATTGTAATTTCCTTTCTCTTGTTCAAGAATGCAGAGGTCAATTTCAGCAAGGTTAATAGGACCAGAGTGAGAATAATTGGCTCAGGACAGATTAGAAATCAAAACACTGAACCTCAATTTGCTTTGTACATTTCAGTGAATAGAAGTAAAGCAGATAGACCGCAGTGGTTCAAGAGGATGGGTCGAGGGTATTTAAGGATGGATAACGAATGCTTGCCTTGCCAGCAACGTCCACTTCTCGTAAAAATATAATTAACATAATTTATATTCCCAATAGAACCAACACGGTGGTTGACTAGTTAAAACTGGAGGAGGCAGCTCCACAAATATGCTCATCTCCAAATGATGGAACAGCCTCACACCCATTAATGCAAAAGATAAGGTTGAAGCATTTGTAGCAATCTTCAGCCAGGAGTGCTGAGTGGATGATCCATCTTGACCTCCTCCAGTGGTCCCCAGCATTATAGATACCAGTATTCAGCCAATTCAAATCACTCCACATGATATCAAGAAATAGTTGGAAGCACTGGATACTGCTATGTTATCATCGCTAGACTATTAATCCAGAAACCCAGCTAATGTTCTGGGGACCCAGGTTCAAATCCCACCACGGCAGGTTGTAGAATTTGAATTCAATAATTAAAAAGTCTGGAATTAAGAATCTACTGATCACCATGAAATCATTGCCGATTGTTGGAAAAACCCATCTGGTTCACTAACGTCCTTCAGGGAAGGAAATCTGCCACCTCACCTGGTCTGGCCTACATGTGACTGCAGCCCCACAGCAATGTGATTATTCTCGATTGCCCTCTGAAATGGCCTATTAAGCCACTCAGTTGTACACTCAATCGCTACAAAGCCTCAAAAGAAATGAAACCAGACAGATCACCTGGCATCGACCTAGGCACTGGAAAAGACAACGACAACCTACAGCTGGCGGTTCAAGAAGGCAGCTCACCACCACCACCTTCTCAAGGGCAACTAGGGATGGGCAAGAAATGCTGGCCAGCCAGCGACGCCCACATCCCACAGATGAAGAGAAAAGAAAAATATGGATTCTGACAACATTCCAGCAATAGTACTGAAGATTTGCGCTCCAGAACTTGCTGTTCCCCTAACCAAGCTCTTCCGGTAGTTACAACACTGGCTTCTACTCAACAAGTGGAAAATTGCCTAGATTCAGAGAGTCCCTACAGTGTGGAAACAGGCCAATTGGCCCACCAAGTCTACACCAC